CATTGATAAAAAAATAAGGTTCACAAAAACTAAAAGAAAAAAACACCCCGAGCCAATCATCTTTTGCAATCCACTTTACCTTTAGAATTCCTCTCAATTCTCTCCACTACACAACAACTACAGTCACACATATTGCATATGGACTCTCTGAAACACTCCATAAGAACTTTAAGATCTTCCTTATAATGCTCATTTGGTTTTTGGTAAGTGCTCTACCAATCTTCAACTCATGCCCTATTAGTGTTCTAGGTCCCCTTTCTGTTGATTTGAAGACCTTTCAATCCTCAGAGTATTTGAACTATTTGTAAATTGCGAGAATCATCTTAACTCGGTGGGGAGCACCGAGGCACTATCTATGTAGCATCGGGTCGCTGGACACTGGCATGGCAATGCTGAGTTTCAAGGTTTAGATTTGTCTGTCTACATCTTTTGGGGTGACGATGCTAAGTCTAAGTTGTGTGGTAACACTAAAAAATCAAGCTCCATCTTTAGATATACTTAAACCATGCAGAAATTTCTATATCAAATTAAAGTATCAATTGAGAGAAAATGAGGAAATGAAACAAAAATAAGAAAAATATATAAAAGTTATAAGAAGACATAAACCACTAAATCTTCTTCCCAATAAGATTAAGCAAGCTATAGAATTCATTTTTCCAATGCTCTAACAAATTCTTCTATAATAAAAATTTATCACATGAATCAATGACCAACAATAACAAAATTTTCTCTTAGAAACAAATTATGAAATTTCTTATGAATTATCAAAACATCATTGGAATCATTTATTAACAAAAAAATAACCAAAATTGTTTGACTGAAAATATTTCCATTTTTTTTTTAAATTGCATTTTATAAAAATGTCAAAAAGAAACAATAGATAAATGATTCATACACACACCTTTCTCTGAATGTGTCTAAACATAATTGGTCAGTAGTGCCAATTGGTCAGCTTGCTGGCTAACAAAGATCAAGCCCAATTTGGATTAGAATAGACTCATCTTGATGAAAAATTATTATATATGGATATCGTATGCAGAAATGTATATGGTGTCCGATCTCCACTGTCCATCACAATAAATTAAAAAAATAATTCAAAATAGGGTTCACCGTCATACATCTTTGTAGTGATGAACGGTGGAAATCAGACTGAACGGTGGAGATCGAACACCATATATATTTCTGCATGTGATGCCCGTATGTAATAATTTTTCCATCCTGACACTCTTAGAATAGCCATAAAAAAAAAAAAAATTTATTCATTTCTCATTTTTTACAATTTCAAATCTCAATAGAGCATTTCTTTCAAGAAATTTTGAAAATTTAAGGCATTTAAATTAAATTCTTTTAGTAATTTGGCACTAATTTAAGCATCAATTATGAGAATGTTGTTTCAAAGCTTTTAATATCATAAATCTAGAGTTGACAGACTTTGATAGTGTGATGAAACAATAATTTTGTGACTCTGCATGTACCAATTTATCAAAGTCAGAAAACAACAATGGAAGTTGGGGAGTTTGGCATTGAAATGTTCATCAGTCTGGAAGCAATTTACTTTTGCTTCTCATAAATGGGAGGCTTACCGGAGTCAAAGTCGTTCCAATAAATTATATGTATATATGTATGTATGTATGTATGTATGTATGTAT